GACACACAGACACATGGACACACACACAGACAGACACACGGACACACACACAGACAGACACATGGACACACACACAGACACCCACACACAGACAGACACACGGACACACACACACAGACACACACACACACAGACACACACGGACATATGGACACACACACACACAGACACACGGACACACACATATGTAGACAGGCACACGCACAGAGACACATGGACACATGGACACACACGGACACACAGACACACACATGGACACATGGACACACACGGACACACAGACACACACACAGACTCACAGACACACAGACACATGGATACACATGGACACACCCATGTACACACACAGACACACACATGGACACATGGACACACATGGACACACCCATGTACACACACAGACACACACATGGACACATGGACACACACGGACACACCCATGTACACACATATATGCACGCACACACACAGAGCCTCATCCACGGTGCTCTTGTCATCTCTGGAGTGAAACCTATGCACTTACCCTGCAGATAAAACTTGGCTTTCTCAAGAAACCTCCAACATGCTCCGTGCACACTTCCATGCTGGGGGAAATGGTATTTTTCCCCTTGGACCCATCATCCAGTCCTTCCCACCGTGCCTCTGGAACACCAGGAGGGCCCCTTGCAGCAGCCGATGGGGGCTCCTGGGAGGGCTCCCGCGGCTGAGCCGCCAGCCCCAGTAGGGCTGCTCCCTCCCTGGGTGCTGGGGCTCCGTGGGTCCCTCTCTGGCCTCCCCCTCCATGGGACACCCACATTCCCACAGAAGATGCCAAGCCCCACAGGGACACTGCAATGCTGGCCTGGTACCAGTCCTCAGCCTGGAGGAGTTAGATTAACCAAAGCTTTGGACTTGTTTTTCATCTATTATGGTCAATATATTAAAGGTATTTATTTAAGAAAGTGCCTATCCTGCCAATCTTTCCCCATGAGCTCTATTTTGAACACACCCTATAATTACTGGTATTACCCTGGCAAATATTCCCCATGAAGTTTTCTCCAGTGAGAGCCATGACTGTACTTGTCTGCTTCTCCACATTATAATTATCACCAGGCAATATTTATAGCTATACTATTATTATTTATGGTATTTTATGCCCTACGAAAATCTATATGACATACGCTCAAACTTCAGCACCAGAGACAGACTTCACTGGGCCCTCCCCTTCTGTCGGTGCCTGTTCTTGGCAGCACTTGCATGGATCCGGCAGCTGGCACCGCAGCCAGGAGTCCTGGCGGTGCGGGGATTTGCAGGCCAGGTAAAATTTCAGCTCAACATACCTGAACTTCCCATCGCAATTTCTTTCATAGTTTCCTGTTCCTGGCTGGTGCACAGTTCAGGACTTCTGGTGTTTCAGGCTAGAACTGTGTATCCTTGGTTCTTGCTGAGGCAAGGTAACTAAAGGAGTGCTTGATTATTCCAGATGGACAATAGAGAACCGCACATTTATGCCTCATGCAAAACAAATAAACAGAGCAGAATGAAAAACACTTGTTTGCCAGTCATGGTCTAGACTTGAAATTTGGCACTGCAATACTTACAAACAAATGTAAATATTTTAATTCACACTCAGAAAAAATTAAATAAATCTGTCTCGTAAGCACCTTTAAGTTTTAATTATTTAAGATCAATACTAACCTCTATTCCTCTGCCCCTAACATGCATCTCCTCTCCAGGATCATAGACCTTTCTTACTCTGAAATCACTGGCTTTCTCCACAAATACTGTTAACCAGTTTCCCCAGTATCATATGCATAAGGGCTATAAACTAATGAGCAGATCTAGGTTATGTAGAAAAGTGTAGAAAGGAAACAAATGTTGAACGTCACATTTACATTAACTTCTCACAGTTCAAATGGCAATTTATCCACAACATAGTATGAATCATGCAGTAAGAAAAGGAGGAATCTCCAGTTTCTTTGATTTATTTGTCATATGGTTGACTGATGTCAGTATCAGTGGCTTAAAAAAAAAAAGTTTAGACATCCAAAAGAAAGGAGGAGAGAGAGGAGGAAAAGGTCTAGCTTTCCACAAAATCCATTTCCTTTAAGATGATGAGCTCAAACCAAACCAGATCAAAGGCTGAGGATGAGCAGGTTCTTCTGTTCTTCCGTGCTTGTCTCGTGGTCTGGCGCCAGCTGGGAATCAAGGGTATGGGACGGGTGGATGTGTTTTGTATTTCTATATATGTATGTATGTATGTAGGTATTAAAATATATATACATACATACACATATATGCAAACAGGGATAGTCTTCCTAAAAAAACGCTCTTTGCAGTCCAGAGGCAGCAGAGTCACTGTGAAGGAAGAGCTGGGCAACATATGGCTGTAGAGTCTGCACTGGAAAAGTCACTGGCTAAACAGATGCCGGCTGTTAGTTCTCTTTATTTTCATGAGGCGAAATAGGAGCTCTGCATAGAGTACAGCCTGTCAATGGGATTTCCTACTCTAGCCTGCATGGAGTTAACTTCGGAAGAGGCAAGAAAACAGTCGCTCAAGCTAGTTAAAGAGGTATCACTGTCGATATCATGAAAAATGGAGTCGTTTCCTGCAAATGAAATGTACACGTTAAGCGGGATGCTGCGCAGCCGGTGAGGCACAGTACACACAGGCGCTCGCGCGCTGCGCCGCAGCAAACAGGAACGCTCCTGCTTCTGCGGCCACATGTTAACCTACTTTGGCTCTGAGGGTCTGCCCTACATGGAGGAGGGTTTGAAATCAACCACAGGGGTCGACTGGCAGCAATGCGCCCAAACCCGCCAGGGTTTCATTTCAATTTCAGTCAGCAGCACAAAACAGAGTCTTGGCTGACAACGGGAGCAAACGGTGCTGGGGAGGAGCAGGGACCCAGCTTCTCCAGGGCTCCGGCACTCATGGGAGCACCGGCACTGTCAAGAAAGGTGGGACCAGACATCGAGTGCCCATGACAGGGAAGCATGGTCTAAGAGCCATAATCATACTGGTCTTCATAGACATACAAGGTGGAAGTTCTACCAGTGTGACAGGACCCAGCAAGAGACCCAGCTTCCCTGGCCTCAAGTGAGCTACAGTTGTAAACATGCTCTCCTTTTAGAAAATTCCACTCTTTTAGGGCTGGTTTGGAACTACTTCCCTTAGTAACTAAGATTTCAGCTTACTTCAACACTGAAGGTTCCAGAAAAAGCTCTAGCTGAAGTCCTGGGGGCTCTGAAAAAGTATTAGTCTGGTTCTTTTTCCTCACACACTGATTCAAAAGGGCATTGTGCCATCCCCTGCATCCCTTTTGGAGCACAGAACCTGCTTCCCAAGGAGTTTTACTCAGAAAGCCAAGCAAACCCACAAAATCACAAGCCACCTAATGCTTGAGGGCATTTCATATGTCCTCAGCTCCTTACAGGACCTCCCAAACTTCCCGGTGTGCACCATGGACTTGTCTCAGTGGCAAAAGTATTGACACAGACCCAAAGCAGATTTCCTGTTGGCCTGTGCACGCTGTGCTCAGGACAGTGATGCGCGTGTGAGCCTCTACAGTGAAGTGCTCCTGGTCAGCAGAAAGGAGTCTGAAACAGGCCCTTGTGGGCTACCGCAAGGCCGAGAATCACAGTCTGAAAAATCCTCTGAAATTCTTTTTAAATGCCACACTGCAATTGTCCAGAATCAATAACTGAGCATTTAGTGCTTGTAATGCGTTTGATGTGTGGTCAAGCAATCCTGAAAGCAAACCGTCATCTTGATTTGGGACAGAGAATAAAACTATGCAGGAGAAATGTCCTGTGGTAACCCATCTCTTAGTAGCTCAAGAACTGTTCTTTAACAAATCCACGCATCCAATCTGAGTGGTCTTACAGGGCTGCTTATTCATTTTGTAATGAATAGATTACTTCTCTTTATTGAAGGCACTTTTTCCTCAAAGCTTCTAAGAAAAAAGGAAAAATTTGTGAGGGAGCTAGAATTTGGTAGTGTTTATTTTTCAGTGTCTTGGACAATGGTTTAAAAAAGTGGAGCTAGGAGAGGTAATGTTGCTTGCTTATAATTTATCAGAATTGTACTGTGAAATAGTTTTGAAAGGTGTCCAGAGCTTGAGACGAGCTCTGTTCTACCCCCTTATGTGTACAAGAAAATACACAAATAAAACCGACTGGTACAAATCCCAGAAAAAATATTCTAAAAGCCAGTAAAGCTGCTGCCCCTGTGTGTGATCCAGCACATGGACCCAGCTACTTGGGATGTGGCAGAATGAGGCATGCCTTACCATAGGGGTTCATGTGGTCGCCTGGCATTTGTGGAGGGGTAAGACCCTGCTGAAATGGGTCTGTGCCATAACTGCTTTGCTCCATTGCTACAATCTGCTGCTGTGGTGGTGCAAGTGGTGTGTAAGATGTCATCATCCCTTCCATTCGGTTGGACATTACCTCTGCAAAGCAAAGAGGAGGTACAGTTACTGCTGGGGAAAGGGCAGAATCAGTGGCAGCAATGAACCCTAGCAAACACAGCTAGGGTATCCTGTCAGTCAGAGAAACTTTCCAAATTTTGTCTGAGCACAGAACCCTGAGCAATGAGCTTGTAAATGTAAATGTGAATGTAAATGTAAATGTAAATTGTAAATGTAAAGACTTGTAATTTCTGACTACATAATTTCTGGAGCTCCTAGGTCCTGGCCCCTATCCTCCCAAAGTCTTTATACTCTGCATGACTGAGCCCAGTTATCCTCTAACTTCTGCTGGTCCCAGTTTTTCTGCTCTGGGTAAAATGGAGGATTTGAGGCTGAAAGGTCTTGGGAACTGGAGATACTCAAGAGTATCTCCAGAGCAGCAGAGCAAGTCCCAGTGCCTCTGTGCAGTCCGACACTTGTGGGGGCTCTCCGTGCCTTGGCTGGGGCAGTAATGCTGACACCTGTGCAGATTCCCAGCTGAGCACTGTGCCCCTTACTGCAGAAGAAAACAAACTGGAGGATCTGCCTGGAGCAAGCCTCCTGGAGATTTCCTCCAGTGCAAACACCTCCCCGTGGCACATTTCTACCAGAAATGAGGTAACAACTTCTGTGTGAGCGCCTCTGGGGTCTGATCCCACCAGGAGAACTTGGGGTAAGCTGGCGTGGGCACTCGGGCACACCTCTGTGTCCTTCCACTGCTGATGGCACACGTCACCCACAGACCTGCAAATCCAGATCGCGCCCTGGATCGCTGTATTAAAGTATCATGTGGGAATAGCACTTCCAGACAGTTGCAGATTCTCTCTCACTTTGCTTTTTCACAAATCCCCTACCTTGTCCTAGTCGCTGCGAGTTCTGTTGCTCCTGCTGCTGTTGGTGCCTTCGTGCTAGCTTTTTCATCTAAAAAAAGCAGAACAGAACAATCTTATAGCTCCAAATGCAACAATTTTATTTCTTTACAAAACCGTCTGCAAACATGTTATCAGTTAACACAGGCCATTTATACTTATGCACACACTGTTGTGGGTTCAGTTTCAATTCTAAGCTTAAACATTTCAGTTTCCAGTTCAGATTTGCATGCAAAATTTACTCCCAACCCTGAGCTGCTTTGAGCATATTTAATTTAATGTCTGTATTTGGAAGTTGCCTTTCTAGTGTGGATGTGGAGAGCAGAGCAGGCAGAACACGTAGAGCTCAGCCAAGGGGCTTCTGCAGTGTGAGCTGCATCCAGGGCAAGAGCCCATGTCGAGGCACAGCCTGCATTTGACTTTTGAGAATGTGACAAACAGCCTACCTTTGCTCTTTGGTTTTGAAACCAGACCTGGACGACTCGCACGCTGAGCCCTGTTTCAGCTGCCAATGTTTCTCTGACCTGCAGGAGGAAATGCTTAATGATGCAATTTTTCATAAGTTAAAAAAAATCCCAAAAAACACTAATCTGTTTTGTTAGGAGGAACATTTGTACTTACAATAAAAATTGAATGTATGGAATTACTTTTAAAAATTCATCATATTTTTGCAGAGTCTTGTCAGGTTCTGCCCCTGATAGCGCTACCAGCTCTGTAACTACTGAACAAAGAGTGTGAGCTAAGGAAAATGACACTAAATTTTACCCATAAAAGACTTCTGTGCAAAAAGAGTGCTCTGCTCTCACCCCAGGGGAACTGCTATTGCCCCAGGAAGGGGCAGGGCTGTCTAGGGCTGTGGCCTGCTGTCAGAGCTGACTTGGTCCCTGGTGAAGCACCTACCTTTCTGCAGGGCTTAGAAGACACTTCAAAGGATGCTTTGAATGCTCGTCTCTGCTGTGTAGTAAGTATTGTCCTTGGTCGTTTAGGTCTTCTTGGGTCCTTCCCATCATCGCTTCCTTTTCCTTGGGTTACTTGGCCTTTGGTGGGCTTAACATCTCCATCTTCATCGTCACTTTTGACTGGTAAAAAAAGCATATATAATTGCAATTGTTCCACCAAGAAAACAGAATGTTTGAGAACTGTTCTTCAGTCAACAGGCTCAACTATTGTCCCATGGTTATTTGAATGCCTAAAGCAGCTGTGGGCAGGAAGAGACCAGCTTTGATCTGTGTGCTCTGCCTAAATCAAATGCCACAAAAGCATAAAAATGTTTTCAGTTTTTAACTGAGGACATGGGACTGATCAGGGGATGGAAATTCATAATATGCTTCAGTATTTTCAGGAATTGGGCACAGAGAGACTTTGCCCTTCCAGCACCTCATGGTCCTGTGTGCTCACCTGCTCCAATCTCACCTTTAAACACCTTTACCTTCACAGCTGAACTCCAGCTTCTCCTGGAGCATTATCTGCAGACAGGTACTGCTGCCTGCACTGCTACAGCAGCAAAACAGCATAAAGCAAGTATCACACAAATATCTCAAAGCCCATCTAACTAAATATAGTGCAGATTCCACTTATTGAATACTGTTTTGAATGTTTTGAAGCTCCAGAGATAATATGAAATATAATCTTTGTCATCTCATTTATTCTTCCCACAGAAAACATCAGTAATCTTCCTCTGTGTTTTAAAATGTGTCTGAATGTACAAGCACAAACTTCTCTTTCTCAGTAAATACATACAAGTATCTATATGTTTGTGTAGACCAAAGAGATCCCTTTGTATCTTCTATAATTAAATTCTGAATACTCGTAAAATCTGGTGATATTGACACGTGTTAGTACATCGTCCTGGAAAATCTCAAGCACAGTGGCAAAGGTTGAGGGGTAAATACATATTTTGTTGTGAAAATCATCTTTTCAACTCAGCATATTTTATTTGACCAGACTACTGATTTTTCTTTCAGAAAACACTATCACATAATTATAGGGACTTCAACCTGAAGAAACACACTGAATTTTCTATGTACTGAAAGACTGCATTTGGGGAATCAACAAATTAGACTTTAATTCATTTTAGGGTGTGATTATTATGCACCTAGCAGTCTAATCACCTTTTACTTTAATGAGCATCTTTGGCCTAATGATTAAAGAGAAGTTCAGTCATTTTAATAACCATGACATTATTAACTTTCCAGCATACCATTTCTAAGGAAAGGTGTGTGAGGATTAATACTGCTCATTGGAGAGTTACTTTTGTGTCCAGTGTTTGATTGAAGCAGGACACATTCTCAGCCAGGGCTTTGCAGATTGCGTGCTCTCACACAGACCCCTGGGAGATCAGTGTTTTCACTGTGTTAGACAATGGGAGACAAACAACTTGTTTAATTTGCCAGCTAGTTTTTCAGGTTTGGGTTTGGCTAGCAGAGAATAATGAGGAAAAAAAAAGCATCTCCAGGAGTAATAAACTCCCCTTTGTGCCAAAGGGAAATGAAATGGAAACCAAGACTGGTTTGTGCTACTGTGGTAGCTCCTCACTGCAGATCACAAGCCAGATCTGGTCCCGAAGAGGAGCCCACCCCTGCTGAAAGCTGATGCCAAACACAGCTGCCAGCACCGGTTGTGAGTGGGACAGGGGTGGGGGAAGGTGCCTGTGACCAGCCCCAGCGTGGGGACAGCCTCGCGTGGACAGCTGGGCAAGGGCACTCGGTGGGCACCAGGCAGGTGCACAGGGGGTCATTGGAGCTGGTGGGGGGCAAGGTATGCTGAAAGTCAGGGGGGAACTCCCACACCTCAGGCACGTTCACCAAAAGCCCAGAGCCAGTACTCAAGGCCCTGCAAACGCAGCGCAGCGTGACAATAACTAAAACACTGCTCCAAGAGTGGCTGGTCCCACGCATTGCCAAGTCTGCTGAGACCTTTGTCTTGAGGCATTCCTGATGTGGAAATAAAAATTTTAGCCATGTGGAGACTGTGGCTCTCAGATTAGAGATTAAGGATAATTTCTGCTCCCAGCTAAAATGGAGTAACACATTTTCCTATAAACCACAGGCAAACATGTCATTTGTACATGTAATGGAATGGTAGCTGTTGATTTTCTTAAGTATTTTCTTGGGAAACAAGAGTGCAATTATGACGGCACAAACCCACATCTCACTTACTTTCAGATTCTCTTCAGTACATCTGTGTTGCACTTGCAATCTTTCTTAAAGGTACTATTTGTAATTTGCAGTGAGATTCCCCATAGAAAATCGTATTACTGCTGTGCCCATTTTCCAGTTTAGTGCTGAAATTGTATGTGCAGAAGATCTTCATAAGAATGTCTATGGAGAACAGCATACTGATGCCTCACTTGAGTGAGGTCTCAGGTAGCTAAAGTCAGCCTGATTAATGCTTTATGATCTTACAGAAAAACACTTTGATGGAAGCAAAAAGATTTTGTCTTTTACTAAGCAGGAAGTTAAGGAAGGGAGTCAGGTTAGGGAAAGCAGACTGCCAGTAGGAATGTTTTCAGCTGTGCCTGCAAATTTGCATAGGTGGCACATGCATATAGATGAAGTGGATGTGAAAATGGATGCACTTTTCTATAAGAAAGCTCTACAGACTCATGCAGTTTTTCCAGTCAGAGCAGGTGTGGGAAAAGCTCACCTGAGTCTGAGTCGTCTGGGCTGACCGAGCTCAACAAGTCTTTCTCTTTCTCATAGTCACTTTTGCAGAGCAGCTGCCCTTCCTTGAGGACAAACTCATCCCCTTTCCTCAGCTGGCGCTCGCACACGCAGCAGCAGAAGCAGCTCAGGTGGTACACGCACTCCAGGGCGCGCATCACGAACTCCGTCGGAGCGATCTTCTCCATGCAGCCGCTGCACTTGGCAGCGAACAGCCTGCAAGGAAGAAGCAGCACAGTCAAGGGGAGCGTCAGATCATACCCTGCGTGGATCTGAATCCAACAATGTCTGCACAGACCAGCCTGGCTCACGCTTCTGCACACTGCAAGTTTTACATCCTTGGGCTTGGAAACATTGTCAGCATGCAATTTTTTCAAATCTCGATCCCTTTGGTCTCGAGATAACCTAAACCACCTTTCCTTAGTGGACAAAGCCCACAAAGATCTGTCCTTATCTCAGTGGTTTTTTTCTTTTCAAAATGAGAAACAAAAGGCAGCTCCCAAAGTTGGACAATTGCTTAAACCTAAATGTATTTTAATTCACCTTTTGGAGGAAGGACCAGCTCATGCATTGTTTTATGCAGGGTCTCTGGTTTCAGCACTTAAGCCCTATTCTGAACAGATTTCATTACTCTCCATTTTTGGTATTGTCTGTCTCTGAGGAGACTGATAAACACAGAAATGAGCATGAAAGCTGTGCTTTTGATGAGGCAGAGCACGTGCGTGTACACACATGATTGTACACATGCAATCAATAAAGAGAGGAGTGAAATAACACAGCTTTTCTTTGGATGTTGAGTTATTCCAGAACAACCTGTCTCTGAAGGAAGTACTGTGCATTTTAAATGGTGTGAAACATCCTTTGGCAGAGATAGGCAGTGATACAATCTGTCAAATTACCAGTATAATCACAAACCCTAGAACACACACTGTATCCAGACTAGTTCTTATTAATGCTCTATAAACCCTTTCTTTCATCCATCATTAATTTTCTAGGTTTAAGTTAGAATTATTTAGATTAATTTTATCTTGCTTTTCTAAGGGCAGCTGGGAATGACCCTAAGTGAGATTTCAGAAAAGGGCTGCCTCAAATAAAGAAGAATTGCTGTTACATCCCTGTGTCACATGGTGTGCTGGTGATTTGAAATTCAGTGTCTTTTATGGCAATACATCACAGTGCAAGGTGCATGAACATTTACATTTCAGAAAGGAAATGAACACCACTGCACCGGTATGCTCACAGAAAAAAAAAAAAAAAATTAGATTCTGCCTTTTAAGATGGGGTATGCTGACTTTTTCCTATCATCAAAATTATAATTTTTCACAAAAAAGGCAATTCTCTCTGATTTTAGAAGGCTAAGGCTGTGGTAGTTACTCATTTCTCCAGAGCCTCCATTTTGTCTGAGCTGGGAAGTGCAGGAAAATGGCAGTACGAGCCCTCAGCAGAGGGCTGGAGTCAGAGTGGGCAGGAGGGAAAAGCAAATGTCAATATGGTTGCACACAGCATCCAGAACACAGCTGAGGGATGGGAGCTGGGAGTGACTGCACCGGGAGCCTGGCTGGCTCAGTGCACACCTTTGCACAACCTCAAGGTAGCTGCCATGCAAGGTGGGCTGAGTGGCTCTTTTCCAGGTATGTAATGAATGAAATCCATCAAAAGGAAACTGATGCCACACAGGACCCTGGGTACTGCCATGAACAGGATGGTTTATTCCATACACTCAGTCTGCTTTGTCCGCAAGGCTTTCCTTACGATGCTTTAACCAGAAAATTCCTAGAGCAGAAAATATTTTTATCTGTACACGATTTTATAGCTGAAAGGATTAACACAGAGAGGAGGAAAACAAACAAACAAACAAATAAATAAGTAAAAGATGCACTGAAAAACCGAGAAAGGTTTTTTCTATTTAACTGCTTAACCTTATTTGACTCATTTAACCAAGCCTGGCCCCTCTGTCCGTGGCACACCTGGAGAGCTCAGGAGCGGCAGAACTGGTGCCAAGGCTCTGTGCCCCATCCACCCCCACTCTGCCGTCCCCGCCGGCCGCGGGAGGGACGGCTTGGCACCGGGATACACCGGCATCGTGCCGGGATGTACCGGGATACACCGGGGTGCACCGGGATGTACCGGGGTGTACCGGGATGTACCGGGGTGTACCGGGATGTACCGGGGTGTACCGGGATGTACCGGGGTGTACCGGGATGTACCGGGGTGTACCGGGATGTACCGGGGTGTACCGGGATGTACCGGGGTGTACCGGGATGTACCGGGGTGTACCGGCATGTACCGGGGTGTACCGGGGTGTACCGGGATGTACCGGGGTGTACCGGGATGTACCAGGACAGTACCGGGATGTACCGGGATGTACCGGGATGTATCGGGACCATACCGGGATGTATCGGGACAGTACCGGGATGTACCAGGACAGTACCGGGATGTACCAGGACCGTACCGGGATGTACCGGGATGTACCAGGACAGTACCGGGATGTACCAGGACAGTACCGGGATGTACCGGGATGTACCAGGACAGTACCGGGATGTACCAGGACCGTACCGGGACTGTACCGGGATGTACCGGGATGTACCAGGACAGTACCGGGATGTACCAGGACCGTACCGGGATGTACCGGGATGTACCAGGACTGTACCGGGATGTACCAGGACAGTACCGGGATGCACCGGGAGCGCAGGGCTCCGCTGCCCATGGCGTGTCCGGGCACAGCGCGGCTGGACCGGGAGCGCTCGCTCACGGCTCCAGGGCCCCGCTCGGAGCGGGGAGGTCGCGGAGCTCTCCCCGGGGAGCGGAGCCGGCGGCTCCCGTCCCTCACCCATAAAAGTGCGGCGGGGCCAGGGTCGCTCCAGGGTAGGCTGCGGCTGCCTCCAGTCGCCTCCCAAGCAAACCGCACGATACGCCACCGTCCAGTGGCAGTGAAAACATAAATGGAACACAGATTACAGGTCATTTCAAGAAGGAAAGCTCAGGAAAGCATAAATCCCCTGCACCTTCCCTCAAACAGGCACACGAAGATGACTTCCTTGTCCTGTGGAACGTGTTGTTTTGCCGACTTGCACCTTTGCTGTCATACTGCCTTAGTAAGTGTCCTTTTACTTTTCTTTGTAAAATGTTTTTACTTTTTCTTTGAAATAAATATATCTAATGTGAACAGAAAATACTTTCTGTTATTTACTGACAACCAACTATTCCCGTAAAGATGGTGCTTTTGCAGCTCTTCCCAAGGCAGCCTTTTAGCTATAACGAATTACACTGTCATCAGAGTCATTCAAATGAACATTAAATTGCCCTGACTGCACAGACTTCATATCCTGAATTTAACTCTTGTCAAGAAAATTCCCTCCCCTGTACACAGGTGCTCTGTATTATAACATCCATTCACACAAATACACAAATACACACACACACAGAGCAGCATGTTGGGTTGAATTCTGAGATTATAAAATCTTCATTAAACCTATCTTATAGGGTGTTTATAGGTATTTTTTCAGCTTCCCAAGAGGAACACAAGGTTATGCACTCTTTTTGCACAAGGCAATCTCACAACAGGAAACTAATCTTGACAAATGACCAGACTTTGATAGGTGTGATCTAAACCACTGCTCGTTAGACTGTTCATTTTATAAACGAATGGTAATAAACCTGTTGGGAAGTGTAGGATAGCAGGAATACTTTACAGATCACCCCTTTACAGGTTTCAATCAAAGCCATAAATTTGAAGGGGAGCACACAGATATTCTGTGCTGAGACAAAGACTGTCCCACACCAACCACATTTAAAGGAATTTTTTTTTTTTTTTTTTTTTTTGCTTTCTATACATTTTAAAAATAATTTGCATAACTCTGGCTTTTTAGCCCCATGGCTGATTATCTCCAGCTCTCTTAAGCTAATGTCAAACCTCAAAATCCTTGGATGTGTTAAAGTATGTGGAGAGTAGAAATCAAATGCCTTTATTAGAAGCCACAGGAAATCTCCGACTCCCAAGCACAACGAAAACATTCCAGAGAAAACAGTTCAAAGAGGACAAAGAAGAAAAGCAGAACAAGAAAACCTTGTTTTGAATCAATGATTGCAGAGTTTTATAAATAAATTCTGTTGCCTGGACAATTTTGAAAGACAACTCAATAGGTTTAGGGGTTTTTAAGCGTGTTTGCCTCTATGCCTGGAACACTTGGGGGACTCAGCCAAGCTAAAGCTCAGAACAATGGCCTGTCTGTCCATCCGACTATTTACAACAAATGCTGTGAAGCAACTTTACAGTACTAGATAATCAAAAAGCCTTTACCAGCTAAAACTGTGTGAACTTAAATTAATTTTACATATGTGTCAGGGGCGATGCAAATGCTAAGACGTGTCCTGACTTTAACCAGTAGATGAAAAAGTTCACCAGCGGAAGAGGCCATAAAGATTTTATTTGTTAGGATATCCCTGTGAAGGCAGGCTGAATCAGTAATCCTTAGAAACAACCACAGTTACATGATCCACTGTGCCTTCCTGCATGGCACAGCCATCTGGAGTGCAGTGCGAACCCCTGATTTATTATATCCCGTGCAGTTATCTCACAGTAAGTTTGACCCTGCTTTGCTCCTGAGAATCACGGCTCTGCTGTTTACTCTCCTGGTGCCCTGACAACCCACCCTTTACCTTTCTGTGCCTCAGCCAGGTCCTGCATTTCCTCCTGTCTGTGGACAAATAGATTTTAATTGTTTTATTATAACTAATTTAATCTGTGCTGAGAGATGTCCATGTGCAGTATGAAATTTACCATTCACATTAAGCATGGTTCAAGAGGTTTGTTATACAGGACAAAGGTAGAAAAACAGACTAATTCAGTCAGGTTGTTTATTTACTGGGACTCTGCCATGAAGCAGTAAATAGGAAGTTATTAAACTGTGTTTGATGTATGCAAGAGGACAGATGCTGCTTCCTACCTATCAGAGACCTTCAGTCACTTCCCTTTCTGCGTTACTCTGACATTATGTGTTGCAACAACCACAGCAGATACCTGGCTTTTCTTTATTTGATAAACATGCAAAGGCAGTGGTCACAGCTCCTGTAAGTACTCTTGGTGCAGTCTCTAAGTGTGATGCTTTTCCCTCTGCCCACAGCCCGGACCCCTGCTGGCCTGCTCTGATGCTGGGAGTTCACTCCACACTCCTGTGCTATCAAACAGGGTAGATCTAGTGTAAAATATAGCATGT